CTGAAAATATATTAAATAAGTCATCTGCCAGTCAGAGTTTCGTATTTATTTCCACATTGTGGGATGTTTTAATGATTTAATGACATTGGTTAAAGCGGCGGGAAGTTTGTGCAGATGCAGACTGCAGTGAAAGCCGCGGTCGTCCGTGCACTTCAGTGCACGTACAAGGGCCTATGTTTCTTGATTCTATGCATTTATTTAAAAAAATACCAAAATTATATAGTTTCATGTGACGCTGTTTGTTACCTGTACCACGACATTATAAAATGGGGCTGTAGGTATTATATATTATTACCTATATAAATATTAAATACTGTAATATCAGGCGAACAATAATATTTAACCATAATGTAATGAAATACAACACAATGATTATAACATATATGCATATTTAACAAAGACCTGGCAACCCTCCAACTTTTCAGGTTTTTCAATTCTGATGATCTAAAGAGATTATTACAATACACCTATGTTAATTTACATTATTCCATAAAATAAAAGATATTATAATGTAAATGTAACTTACTTTCCTAAAAGATGACTCAACGGTCAAGTACTAGGCAGTTTCTTATAAAACAATAAAATTTGTGAATTTTCATAATCGATTCAGTACTTTCAGAGAAAACTTATTAATTAAAGTTCAAATTTATTTATTTGTGCTTACATAATAATTCCATTACAAATTAATTTATTTTAAACTAGCTGACTTGGCAAACGTTGTTTTGCCATATAAATTATTTCTAGGGAATTTGGAAGTGTTTGACAGACATAGTTGACAGGTTGACGGGTACAGTTTGTAAGGGAAAATAAAATTGTTGCTATTTCGATTTTCCAAGCAATTTTTCCATAATTTCTCATCGTTTAAACCTTCCCTGGACTGCCACAAATATTTCAAAACCAAAATTAGCCAAATCGGTCCAGTCTTTCTCGAGTTTTAGCGAGACTAACGAACAGCAATCCATTCTTATATTTAAGATTGTAAATATTTCTAGATAAATGAACAAAAACTTTCGGCGTTACGACTAATTTATTTATTAACCTAGCCGTCCATATTTGCCAAGCTGATATATTTACAATAGCATTTGGTGACGAAAATGGGCGAAATTAAAGCTTTACAAAAGTGTAAAAAAAATGCTCTTTTATTTTTTACAGGGCTTAAAAATGTATATTTAACGGTGCTAGGGCCACGCGGCAGTCTCGGCTGTTGTACGAATGGGCAGGCCCGTCCAGGTAAGTACCACGACCTCACAGAAGACCAGCGTAAAGTGGAAGTATGACAAATACTTTCGCGTTGCGTCTGGTGAGTGAGGTAGCTGGAGCCCATTTTCAAAAGGTTGTCAAAGCATCTGTAACCATCGGCTGTGGTAGATGTCCATGGGCGGCGGTATACATCAGGTAAACCGTCTGCTCGTTTGACAACTTTTCGCATAAAAAAAATTGTTAGTAAGCATACGACTAAGAAGTTGCAGATGCAGTACGGAACATTGATAGTTATTAGTTACAGCTCAGAGATCTCAAACCGGGGAAAGTTAGCATTGGCTGAGTGGGCGCTTATTGATAAATACCGCTAGTCTAGACCACATTGGGCTAGATTCAGGTATATCACTGCCGTTTATTTTAACTGGCTTTAGTTACATATCTATAATGTAAACTCGTCCTTTACTCCATTTATTCGGTGTGTTAATAAAAAAATAATTTCATTAATGCCAGTATTCAAATAAATATACCTTATATTATTTCCTGTGACATTTGGAATAAACTCAATTTAAGCATGAAAGGCAGAAACTGTCATCCTTAAAAACAAGTGCAACCAAAGCTTTTTCAGTATTAGGCTCATAATAATAAAAACATTTTAATTTATTTCTCTATTCGAATAGATTAGTAAAAACGAATGAGCATTGGTCACTATTTACGCATAGATAATAGTAAGTACTGACAGCGTTAACGGTACATTTTTGTCATCAATATAATCACTGCAGATATGCTCCACAAACGAATACAATGTTAAAGAACAATGGCAACAATCCAATAAAAGCGGTGAAAAAAGTTGCCGTTCCAAATTCAAATAATTTCCCACACGTAACGTTACGCGGGCGGGCATCGAGCGCGGGCCGTTATACGCGCGGCAGTGACCCACATTGGCTCGACATTTTCGCCGCGATTCTGTAACCGGTTTAGTAACTAACCTCATTACTATTATCTTTGCCGCGTTGTACATTACGATTATGATATAGTTCATACCAACAGTGCTCAGTCAATCCACAGCAATGTACACTGTGTTTGTAAATTTCTCCTAGCACTATTTACAATGGCCGACGCATCATAGTAAAAGTATGCGGCCGGTGTAACTTTGCCGCGCTTTCTGATTTTGAGACGAGAAATTATATTGCAGCAGTTTCAAAGTCACGTAGCTACTTAATCGACTGTTACGTAGGATGTAGCAATTGTTTATTATGTAGACCCATTTAAACTTCAGTAGGCTGTATATTGGAAGATATATTGAATTACTGTCATTACAGCTCTTTGATTATAAATTAATGTATAATCTAAGCTCTTAAGCACAGCCCTTTCTGATTTTTTATTTTTTTTTACACAATAGTTACATTCAAAGTATTTATTTTTGTTTCGTTCTTAGTTATAAATATGGACATTAGTAAAAAAAAAAAATTTAAAGTGAAATATTAATTAAGTACTTGTTCTATTTCAAATTCTAATGGTCCTCTTAAAAAAATAACCATTACATTTGAGTTCAATTAGCGACTTATTTTAACTTTTTAACAGTTCCACACTTCCACAGTTACAAATATAGAAATGTGACTTTGTAAATATGTTTACCAATACAGTACGGTACAGTACTATTATTGAATGAACGGTATTGATAAAGTTTTTATTATTGATTTAGATCAAGACTATTAGCGAACCTACGCGACAAGTTGAAACTAGGTACTTTGAATTCTAACTGCAGACTGTAAACAATCTTTATCCTTTATGTTTTTCAATAACAACTATAACCATCGCACTCAATACTAGTTAGACACGTCAATTTAAATTTTCAAAATAAATTTATTTTTATTGTATATAATATACATATTACTATTTTAAAATACATCCCAGGGTAAAAAAGCTTAAGGAGTATTGCTGGAGTTGTAGTTCCTGATAGAGTTTGTCTGGAATTTTACGAAGAGTTTTGGATTAGGATAGAAGAATCAAAAAAGATTGATAACTCAAAAAGGTCCTTTATAATACAACAAACCTAATATATTACGCTTTTCTGTGTTTATTTATTAAATAATATCTTCTTCGAAATCTCGAAGTATGCCAACGTAACGTTGTAAGATATGTTATCTTATTATAACTTCCAAAATAATCTAGTACTAGTTCAAAATAAAAAATGAGGTTACGGGGTTGGTTGCAATAGATGTCATCACCGTGTGACGCGTGAAGAGAGATATTTGCGCATTGACACATTTCTTTTAACACTGGAATGTAACTAAATTTCACTTCAAAATTGGCACAATGTCACAACTCTCTGTGGGAACTTTATATTGAACTATTTCACCGATTGGAATGTCTATAGTTTTGAATATATTTTTGTTAATAACATGTTAGAACATCTTTATATATTAATCATTTTAAGTGAAGTGCAAACATTCTTTTAAATAGTTACTATTCTAAATTAGGGACTATAAATACGTAAAAAATCTTCTTGATAAATAAAAATGAATGTTGGTAAGCGCATATTTAACTCTAGGAGGGCTGGACCAATTCGACTAATTTATTTTTTGTACGTTCCTTAAGGTCCACGGAAGGTTTTACTACTGGAAGGTGTTACTACTATAAAAAAAACGAAGTCTGTCCGGGCAGGTAGTTGTAAATAAAATTAATTGGTTACTAGTTTACGAAAACAATGGATCAATTAAGAACTTTCTATCCTCAAATTTTGATTGCAAATGACTACTTGACTGTGGTAGGGCCACGCTGCAGCTTCAGCTGTTGCAGGAAAGGGCAGGCAAGTACCACGGCCTCGCTGAGGACCTGCGTAAAGTTCTTTTTTTATGTGATAAGTTGCCAAGCGAGCAGACGGTTCTTCTGATGTGAATTCCGCCGCCCACAGACATCTGCTAATCCTGAGGGTTGCAGAAGCGTTGACAACCTTTTGAAAATTGGGCTCCGGCCACCTCACTCACCAGACGAAGCGCGAAAGTATTATACTTCCACTTTACGCCGGTTTTCTGTGAGGTCGTGGTACTTACCCGGACGAGCCTGCCCGTTCGTGCTAACAGCCGAGGCTGTTGCATGGCCCTACCACAGTTATATTATATATACCATAGTTATATTATCGTCTGGTGAGAAGGTATCTGAAGGCCAAAGGTTGTCATCGCATTTGCATGGAGGCCCTTGGGTGCTGTTGATGTCCATGGGCAGCGATATCCATATAACATCAAGTGAACCGTCTGCTAGTTTGATAAATTTTTGACATAAAAAAAATGTCTTCGCCGTTGTAACATCTGAATTTACCCGGATCGCAATTTCATCTCCGCGTGATAACTTTGTGTTTAACAGGCTTTTTTATTAAATTAGAAATTTTCGGAGATTTCTATCAGATATTTATCAGATATGATTAGATATCAGATAATTATGATATATATGTATATTCATATACACATAATATGTATAATTTTTATGTATCATTTATTTGCCTATTATAATTGAATTTAAAAGAAATTAATTTATTTCCTATATTTACTCTTCGGGTTAACACCATGGCAGGCAATTTTCACCACGACAAGGTTTGACTGGTAGAGAGATTAAGTCCGCCCATTGTAGTCTTTAGCCGAAGGTGTAACAGTGAAGTATAAATAAACGTATATGTATTTCTTTTGGCCATTGTGTCTTACTAAACTTTGCTACGCGCTGAAGCATAATTGTAATCTGTTATGTATTTTAAATTATGTAATGTTCCCATAAAGTTAAGAAAGTACGGACCAGATTGTTGTCGGATGTCGGTCAGATTTCGTCTGTTTGTTACGGTCATCAAGTCATCTTTCATCGCGGATCGACTGTCGGCGGCGGCCATTTTGTCGCGGACGGAACTGCAAACAATCCGCTCGAAACTGGAGCGAGTTTCGAGGGCGCGTGATACTTCTCTTCGGCGGCGCGTGTCGAAGAAAGTTCGCGCTCCACGCCTAGGGATGTACACAATCGGTTAATATAAATTATAATTCGGTTATTTTAAAACAATATATGACCTTGCTCTGACCGGTATTAGTGACATGTCGCTGTTGTCATTAGACGATACTAAGCAAACTATATTTTTTTTGTATCCATAAACTGGCTATTGCTTGTGTGTCATGTACCTAATGTACTTAATGCATTAAAATACCTGTTAGCTATGATTAACTGAGCCGTACTTTATTCAGATGCTTTGTGCTTTCCTTTATTGATTTGTAAGGGATAAAATCTGCGTGCTTATTTATTTCTGGACCAATTTACTTCGAGATTACAAATTCGGCGTTGCAGAGTTGCTATATTTGGGCTTGTACTGTAATATGTAACTGAGCTGGACTCGGCGGAGAAGCAGACGAAGAGATTTATTGGTTACTCTGTCATGGTTAGAAGTAATAGTGTCCGTGTCCACTTTTCTAAATGTTGGCCATGCATCTTTAATGTCTCTTTTAAATTGTACATTATGGATAGCGGTTATCTTTTTACATCAAGTCAACCACCTGTTCGCTTTTTAACTTTTCATAAAAAATCTCCAGCTCAGGCGTAAAGCAAAGTAAGAAAGTCAGACGCAAAGTAATAACTAAACGTATAAAGTGTTCCCGTGTCAATATACTTTCCAAACTCCGAAAAAAAAAACTCACGTTTACCAAGATATAATTATGAAGAATCTAAAAATTTATAAATTGTTGTTTTCATATAGAATTAACAGATGGAGCTAAATATCTATTCACACTTAAACAACAACAACAACCTAGTTTAATGTTTAAATTTATCAATCAACGTCTAAAAGCAACAGCGAATGATTGTATCGCCCCAACACTAGCGAAACGTTCATGCCGCGAGATGTAACCTTAGCATGTAACGTCATGATCATGTAAAGAATGGTCAAGTTCGAACCGCAAAGGGGGTCAGACACGTTTCAATGATTTTTTTTGCGTTAGGAGGCGATGACGCCGTTTCATTCCTGTCGTTAAATATTGTGGAATAGAGTGTCGCAATGTAATGTATAATACTGCCTATTTAACGTGTATTATTAATCTACTAAAATATTTTATTTTTCGTATAAAATGTATTTATGGCCGAAATTAATTATACATATAAGTAAAAGCCGTATTTATATATTTTATTAATTAAATATGCATATTCGCTTTGACAGATAATAAAAAAATAAATATATTTAAATATTAGCTCTGACAGATAATAAAAAATAAATGTTACACTAACACAATTTTTATGTTTCGCAATTGTTTTATTGAAACAGATTTATCCTCCGTAGACTAATTTTCGCCTAACTGTGGGACATGAATTTGATGTATACTTTAGTACTACTTTTTATTATTTTTTAATTATATTTTATATTAAGTCATCAGATATTAAGAAAAACGAAACAAAACCATTGACTATTACAATTACGTCATTTCTCCCAGTACAATTTACAGTTATGCGACTCAGATTCCGAGAAGCAGAACGCAGCTTTCCAACAGCATCTAACAAGAATGATCTAACGTGACAAAGCGAAAAAATGATGCCACGCGCCCGCCATATTGGTGTAATGGCGGCCGCGAAAAAACTAACGGAATAAAATACCTACCTAGACACCGAACGGAGAAAGGCTTTCGATTGTCCCACATTTCACCGCACGCGAGTCGGCGTGCGACTCCAGAGCGGCTTAATGGTTCTATTTTGTGTCAATAAAATAAACAACCTTATTGCTGGAACACAAATCGCAGATTCATTTGGCGCGAAATTTGATATTTGCACCGCTTCTTACTGAACAGAACTGTTGCACGCAATAACATAATATCAGCTGTCTCATTCTAACATCTGGCTTATATACTTCCGTCTCTTTCCCACAACATTGAAAAAGAAAGCACTAGTTTTTTTTAACCAAACGGCATTTTACTCGGTAGTATGTCGAAGAAAGCTAAAACTCGTGTATGTAATATTAGAAACGTTGATTCTATACATCAGTTGCATCGCATTAAACTTGGTTGCATAAGAAAATTGCATTTCCCCGCATTCACTTCATGCGACATGTATAGATTATTTCAATTTCTCCGTTGATTAATCATTGCACCGATATACTGTGCTAATTAATGGATTGTTGGACCGCTATTTTGCAATTTAATTTAAACTTATCGCCTTTGCATACTCGATAATTCAATTAATCTTTGTAATTACCATAAAAATGTGTAGTTACAATAATAGACGTTGATTTAACTTACTGCAAAACTTTTTAATAGATTCTTTGTATAAATGATAATGAATAGTATATTTACTAGTTTTTATTACATGATCGATTATTTTTATATTATATCTAGGTTGATTCTAATAAGCTAGTGGTGTGTAAGTATTTTGTTTATAGGTATTTACAATCCTGGCCCATTTAAACTTTAAGAATATATTAAAGTAAGCTCTTACATATTTTTTCAGTTTTAATGAAATATATTTAAGCGCCTACTGACATCTCTACAGGAGCCCGTCAGTGCAGCCTTCAATTCATAAATACATTTTTGTTTAACTATTTGAAAGTAAGCACACTAATAATAGTATGGGTAATGGAAGAGTTATCTGATGCAATTAATAATCTTTGAACGCGAAAAGTGTCACTTTTCAGCGCGTTTTCGAAGCGCAACCGTGCGCTGTAATTGCATAATTTGCATAGGCGGTGCACCGTGCCCGTGGTGGCCACTTTCTCCCGCTAACGGGATATGCAACTGGGACATCCGGCGGGCCTCTCTCGTTACCATTCTGTCTGAACGGTAATCTGTTGCTGTACGCTCGGATAGATGGCGTTGGTTAGCGCTATTCAAACGCACGTTAGTTGAAGGTTGTGAGAGCTATACGGATATTATTACGTTTTATTTACACCCAAATTACGGCATTTCGAATGTTTCAAAACATTTTCTTAAGTTAAATATAGATCAGATGTTACTTTACTTGTTAACTCGATGATACTTGTTTAAATTTGTAGTGTTTTTTAATAACTTCAAATTGAGCATTTTCTTTTAATGTTGTAGTTGAGAAACATAAAAAGTATCTGTCTTGATGCATATTTACACTAATGAAGCACTAAATAACACTTAAAACATTTATAGTACCAAAAAACCCAAACCGACTACAAATATCTCACTCACTAATTGATTTTAAGATGTTCTCTGATATAACGCCGGTGTCCAAGATTCAATACCAATGAAACTAATGTGAACCCATTGAAAAATAATTTTTAAAATCGACAATCTTTTCGCACTTTTTCTACATATTTTAATGTTCAATCTTAAGTGCAAAGATTAGCACTATAAACAATTTAAATTTATAAAATCGGTTCATAAATGACATTTATTTTATTTTTGTTACCTCAGGTCACAAACAAAAAATACAATCGAATTCAGAACATTTTCCTATTTGAAGTCGGTTGAAAATATAACATATTGCCAAGTAAAACTATTTGAAATTTTTTTGTACTCGGCTACGTCAACTTTTATTTTGAATTGAATCGTCGGCAATTAAATGAATAGCGAGAATATTCTTAAAATTTGTTTTATCTAACAATCTGTAGTATTCGCGTAAACTCTAGAAATCATTATGTTGAATACACGCATAATATTTTTAAAATGATAATAAACATATTGCGTGAAATGGTTTGTTTTTAGCTGTTGATAAAAAAGAAAGCATTTCTCCGAGCATGGACACGGCACGGCGCGGCGCGGCGTCCCTAGCGGTCGGTTCACGGTCGACATAATGGCAATGCCAACATAACAGCTCATGTCGCACAAGTGGGCCACACGAGCGGTGAAAGTCCGGCGAAAGGTGATGGTAAGCGGGTCAGTTACTGACGTTACGTGTGGCGCGCTGTGACACTTTCTTTAATTGAGATGTGTGGACGCCATCTTGGTTTTTCACGTGACAATGGAGTATTAATTTAAGCGCTGATAATTACTAAAAATCGGAAAATATTGTATGATAATCATATATTGTTAGCGACCCGCCTCGGCTTCGCACGGGTGCAATGTATTCTCCATATAAACCTTCCTCGTGAATCACTCTATGTAGTTAAAAAACCCCATCAAGATCCGTGGCGTAGTTTGAACGATCTAAGCATAATTATATAGGCACAGACAGACAGCGGGACGACTTTGTTTTATACTATGTAGTGATGCTGGATTGCTGGAATAAGTTATGCTGGATTGAAGCGTTCCCGCTAATTAACGTTTAAATTAGATAGCAATGATATAGTATGCAGATGTACGTCATTTTTCAATATTTTCGTTTAAATACAATCTGTATAAAAATGTTCTTTAAGAAAGGTGAGGCGTAAAATTATCGACTCTTCATTTTTCTATAAAACAGCTATGGTGTTTTGTAATATCTTCTACGGTGGAAAGTACAGTTGTGGGAAAGTTAAGTATTTTTTTTACCTTTCTAAGGGACTAATGATTAGGTAAGAATTAAAAAAAAATAATAGTGCACTGCGGGATATCATTTTGTTGGGTAGGTACTTACTTTACGTTTCTTTGTACTTTCTTATAATTTATACCTTTTTATTTGAGCAACTTTCTGCTTATGTCAAAAAATCTTTGCGTGCCGAAAATAGAATTAAGTGGTGATGATTGTGATATGTGGTGTAAGCAGAATTAATGAATGTCTAAAAAATATGATTAACTTTATTGTTCATATGCTAACTTATCCATTCTAAGACATTTAATGGAATATGTTCCTTCATTCGGGAAAGTGCTAAAAGGTTGCTTTGGACGCAGTACTATTATGGTTGCTTCAAGGACCTCCTCAATATTTGTGGCTATATGAATATATATTTTTTGTTGGAGATTAATTCTATGCTTCTTTGTCTATCCATTCTTAGCTATATCCTAGATACAGATACATTAAATGAAAAGGAAAAAAACGTCTACTGAACTTGCTAAATGGAAGAATATAAACTTTAACTTTTCCTTTAACCTCCTATCGTAACATTTCTTTGTGGTCGTTAGGATTAAACTAGATGACGCCAAATATTGCTTAAAAATGCAACAATAAGACAATAGACACGGTCTATCCAGTGGCTAGGGCGTGATAGGATTTCGTCTGGTACACCAGATGACCTGACCCTGAAAGTTCGCAACAAAACTGCAATCCGAAGGGCAATTTGGACGTCCATGGCCGGAAATCACCAATCATCTGGTGAACCGCCTGCTGTTTACCACCTTCTCTAGTAAAGAAAACCGGCGGAGTGCGAGTCGGACTCGCGGACGAAGGGTTCCGTAACATTATTTATAAAAACGGCGAGACAATCTTGCCAGTTGTATATAGTTCTTTTTTTATTTAATTTGACATTATAAACGTTTTAGTATTTGTTGTTATAACGGCAGTAGAAATACATCGTCTGTGAAAATTTCAACTCTCTAATTATTACGGTTCATGATATACAGCTTGGTGACAGACGAACGAACGGACGGACAGACATATAGCGCAGTCTTAGTAATAGGGTCCCGTTTTTCCCTTTGGGTGCGGAACCCTAAAACGAATACCTTAGCCGGGTCACGCCCGCGCATTAGCTTACTCAAACTATAATTACAGCCTCCGTACTAGTGCAGCAACAAAGACACTGGCCGTACCGTGAGCGTTCGAGCGTTCGAGGTCGCTTTCGCATTTCACCGACGCATCTCGGTCACCCGCTTTTGGGGCTGTTTGTTTGAATGCAGCCATCAGCTAGCCAACTTCGAACTCGCGTCGTGAAAACGATTGTCAACATGATCGTCTCACCGTGATACTATGACACGGAGATCGAAGTTTCTGGTCGCGAACAGGTTTCATTCAAGGTTCTAGCGCAGCGTCGAACTAGATTCTTGACTGGGAATAATCGATTAATCATTAACCAGAATATTTCATGTAGTCATTAAAAGGAAAGCTAAGTTCAATGGCAGTGCTTTAAGCGCTCAATTTTTGATGACCGTCGCCAAATTTTTCCTTCACTAATGCACGGTATGGGGCGCTATCTTTTTGCAAGAACAGCTTGGATATATCAATGAGGTCGAACTGTAGACACAGAAAATCAGTTAATATCGTTCTACACCGGGAACTATTGCAAAAAGGAAAATTGAAACAAGTTTCAGTTAAGCAACCAGGCCACATAAGCCACACCAAAAAGTCAATCTTTGTGGATGCATAGATGCTTGGCGTAAAGACTGGAATTTTATGCGATCACGGCAATTTTGTTTGTGGACAGAGCCGCCGAGCCAAAAATGAGCACCGTCTGATTATATGATTTCTTGGCCAACCTCCATCCATCCAAATATCCAGTCAAAATTTCCAGTGCCCAATTAGCTAACCAAGGTGATGTCAGTCAACGTCCGACTTCGATTCTTGCGGCCACATAATCTCATACGGCTGTAGACTAAATCTCATAGCAAATAAGCCGGGTTGACAGTCTAGTAATGACCAATTCAGCTGATTGGTGCTAAATGAACAACTGAACCGGAATTTCGTATAATATTTTTAATAATTTCCACACGTTCGGTAAGCGTGAAACGATGCATGATGTAACGGCAAACCTAATTGCATGATTTGAAATTTAAATATCTTTAGTAACTTTGACAGATGCAAAAATATTGCAAATTAATGTAAAAACTATTATTGTGACCATAGATAAAAAAAATGGTTTGTATCATTGTTCGTCAAGCGTTTGGCAAAGGAATGGCCTGCCTCGGTCTGATTACGTGATTCTTCAAGAAAAGAGAGAAAATAGTTGTTTGTAGTCAATCAAAAGTCAATTTGTGTTAAAAAATAAATGTGTGTATGCGATGTTTAACATAAACTATAGGCTAGAATATATCAATACAATAACAATATTTGGCTGAGTGAAAAATAAAATAAACACAAATTGAATAAACTAATAGGCGTTTTGTTGGAGATTACGCAAAATTGGATGATTTTAAGTTTCACAAGGATTTTTTGTTCTGTGTGAAAGCTTAATGTTTTACATGACATCATTTACTACCTATTTCAAGTATTCAAGTTTATTTCAGCGAAAAAGTTAACTTTTACAAGTTCGTTTGGGTTATATAGAAGTGGTCTTCAATAACTAATCAATGGTATGATTTTCTTTCGAATTAAATCCGATCTTGACCTGGATTTCGAAGATCACATGTGGGCTTTCGTGTCAATGGATCTTTAAAATTTTGCACTAAAATGGCTTTGCAATTCGCCATCTGTCATATGCTGTGGTAAACGTATCAGACCTGTTGCAGAATGACATTTAAATTTTACAAGAAAGTAGATATGTCCTACCGATTTATTAGTAGGTATAAGTAATGTCTCGATCATCGCTAAATATATTTTAACACATTGAACAAATAACAGTTTTCCATTTTGAATTAAATTACTTAAATATCGCTAGTAGTCTTATCTACATGTTTATTTGTGTGAACATTCTACCTAGAAGAATAATCTATGGAGACATTTATTTATCTTAAATCTTTTAGCGATTATTCGATCAATCATTAAACGCTGGTAGGGCCACGCAGCAGCCTCGGCTGTTACACGAATGGGCAGTCTCCTCCGGGTAAGTACCACGACCTCAAAGAAGACCGGCGTAAAGTGGAAATATATAACTTTCGCGTTTCGTCCGGTGAGTGAGGTAGCCCAATTTTCAAAAGGTTGTCAACGCTGCAACGGTTGCGACCCTCGGGTGTAGCGGATGTCCATAGGTGGCGGTATTCACTTAACATCAGGTGAACCGTCTGCTCGCTTGGCAACTTTTCACATAAAAAAATCAATTCATCAATATCTAAAAATTCTACGCAAAAAGCAAATAGGTACCCTGTTGTGCTCACATAAATTTTCCATTTTCCTCCAACAAATTGTGGAGAAAACAAATAATGAATTCTCACAGTTTTCATCGCCTCATTCCCATTAATTTGCTTTGTCACAGTTGGCGCTGTTGCCAAGAGTTTATGGATGACCGTTTTGTTAATATTAGTATGAGGATTACATACAAAACCGAATCATCTTGACCTGAAAACTTGATGTTATATTTGTTAGATTATTTTAAAGAGACATCTGCCTTAATTTCATCGTGTGTATGTAAATAACGTACGTAAACGTTGAAGATACTGTATCGTGTGTGATCTGGACGGTTGTTTTTAGATATTATCGTCACGAACTAGAAGGTTTCGTTTATTCTGCATACTAATTATGTCTTCCGAAGATTCTTATTTTTATGTTACGTGTATAAAATGGTAATCAAGTGAAGGTAATCAAACGATTACAGCTTAATTAAAGTTATGGTTAAAAATGTGCTTGCCTTCTAAAGCTTGAAGTCAATTGCATGAGGTGATAATTGTGAAGAACGTTTTACATATATTTTTGTTCCCAGCCGTATTTTAAATTTTTATTTTATTTTAAATAAGTGTAAAATTTTTACATTGAAAATGAAAACAAGAAAATTATTCCGCACCACAAAATTTAAAAACGCAACATTCGTCATGTCAACGCAATCGCTTTTCGCGGTAAGCAGATTCGATTTTCGAACGCGCCCGCGGCTCCTTGGAGGCGGCGCGCGGGGCGCGTGCGTTTCGCATTGACATTCGGCGCGCGGGCCGGGTGCGACGACCGCACTTTCACTCGTCCGCCGCCACACCCCCGCTTTCCTGTTGCGCAACGGCCGCGGCGGGAAGCGAGCTCAGGTGTGACGTTGCGTGCCTCGTCCGGTGATCGTGCGACCGGCCACAGATTATATATCGTGATGTATTCGTGCATACAGGTTATAAAAAAAGTGACCGCGTGGATGGCGCAATGCTTTAATGGTCGGCCTGCCAACTGTCATAATGTATATTGGCGTGGGCAAAAATTTTATAGGTGAATAATTCGGTGCACTGTAATAATACTAATCACTACATATTATAATACAAAGTCATCCCGCTGTTTGTCTGTCCCTATGTATGCCTAGATCTTTAAAAATACGCAACGGATCTTGATGCGGTTTTTTTACTAAATAGAGTGATTCAAGAGGAGGGGCGGGTAGCTAGTGTATCATAAGCCATTCATCGAAAATGATCAATTAAAGGGTTTACATCTAAACTCAATTTTCGCGGGGCTTGTCGCATGGTGTTATTGGTCGGCCTTGCAACTGCCATCATGTATATTGGTGTGGGCAAAAATTTTAAAGACAAATAATTCGATGCACCGTAACAATAGTACTGCATAATAAGCTATTCATCGAAAATGATGTATTAAATAGTTTACGTCTGAAGTCTTTAGTTTTCTAGGGGCTTGTCGTTTCTTTTTTTAATTTAATAAACTTTCATGCGTTATATAAAATCTGGAATGAGATATTGTAGAACACTTAATCGTCTACAGGGAAAAGACATTGTGCATTTTTGAGGGCCTTTGGGCACGATTAAGTTGAGTTCGAAGGATTATCAACGAACGGAACCCGAAGATTCAGACGGAAGTCACTGCCTCGGGTCTTAAAACAATCGTCAAAATGAAGAAACCTGTGATTTTTAAAATCAAGAGGCTGTGTGAAGAAAGAATTATTGTGAAGAAAAGATTAATCGTTTTAAGAGGATGCAAATCAAGGTTGTCCGAATATTCTATTAAAGCTGTTCCTAGAAAGTAATAAGATTATGGAAAGCGACAATGCTGAAAATTTCTTTTCACTAAACCTCAAAAAATCATCAACCATTCTACATTTCCATCCGTCTTAGCTATTGTAAATTTCATAGCTGTCGTATACAACTGTTTAACGGTCGTTTCTTATCCACATCAAGTTAAACCTGTCGGTATATTAGAAAATGGAAAAAAAATCGACATCACTTTAAAAAAACTAGGAAACGACACGGAGACAATTAGTAACGAAGAAAACGGTTTGAAGCAATTCACAACACATTGTACATTGCTATTTGGTTACCATAATTTTTGATTTATATGGACGGTTTCTTTTATATAGTGATGTTACAAATTAGTTAAAAATAATAGTTAATTATCTAAGTGTTCATTAAAATTAGGTAAAATATATTCTAAGCTTTGATGTTTGTTTATACAGAAAATTAGTAAAACTTTTTCTTATTTCTTCACGTGAATGAATGAAATAAAACATTGAGTGTTTGTAATGCAAAAAATTTCTATTTTCTGTTCCGTGAACATGGATTCTGCAGTGTTCGGGAATTAAAATCGAAATTAAACGCAATGAAATTCATAATATTCTTATTAAATAATTTGCTACTGCTCTTAATTCGAATATGTGCAATTCAATATTCTTTAACATTACTTTCAAAATAACAACTTTTTGACGTTTACCTTAATTCCATGTCATTTAAAAAATAAACCGTTATCAATTTCATTAGTGTCTTTACGCTAAATAAATATGACTTCTTATGTGCGTGCCTAAGTACATAATTATATCCTTTGTTTGTATTACGATTAAATGCTAGTTTGAAAATGGCAAGTTATATCAAACGCATTAAAATACAGTCCGACCAATGATACTATACAAATACGAGGTAGATATCACACTAGCGCACCGAAGTTGTAATTCTTTATACTTTTATCTTTTTCCATATCATATTATATTCAATATTATCTGTCACATTTACTTATGTATGTCATGTAATGTAAAGCTGAACAATTTTTAAACGCCGCGCAGTATGGACGTGCGCCAACTATATTATTAAACATTATTGAGTCCGAAGTTATTTTCCCGCCAAACTGGCCACTCTACGGTGGGCGGAATACCGGCGGTGACGTAAGGAGAAATGCGAGGAGGTGACGTAACGCGGGCCTTGAACCTGCGCGGAAACTAATGGCGGGAAATCGCGATGCAACCACAAGTGATGTTACGCGACTAGATCGTCTGTCTCCGCGTCTACCGCCGTGTTTGTAAATGGCGGGAACTCTAACTCGTTAGTGTCAATCGATAAGCTGGACGCGTAATGCTGGTCGTTGCTGTACGGTGAAATTTCCATTTCGTTTTTCAATTTGCACTCCTATATCAGTTAATGTCTCCATCTTCATTTGTCACTTTTTCACCAATCGTATTTGGTTTTAAATATTTTATTATTTTATTACTTACATAAATAAATGCCCCAGAGTTGTTTGGTTATAAGATTCTAGTGTGGGTTTATCATGATAAAAGCCCTATAAAGTTCTTTGCCCATCTAGACTGTCTCAGAAATGTGGATCTCGACTCGAGATACTCAAGCCTTGAGAGAGTTACGCATAACGTAACCGTTACATATACTTACAACATACAGATATAATATACAGATTGTTTTTACATCAATCTGATTGCCCTTTGCATATGGCAATAACGCTAAGGTTCAGTAAGATTTGATCCAGTGAATTAACAAATAAAGAATGTAATACGTGTAAAAGAATAATGCTTCTAGAATTACAGCGAAGCTTTCTGTGACCAGAGATCTTTATGGTATAAAAAAAAATGTGTTATTTTAATATTATAATAGAGGAAAAATTATTTGTAACTTATTTTTTTTTTTGTCTTTACCATGTGGTAAACTGCTAACTATTATAAAAATATTTAATTTTACAATTAAATAAATTATTATCTGTATCTATAATTAATATCATAAAGAGGTATGATTTGTATTTTTGTATGTTTTTAATGAATAAACTCAATAACTTTTGGACCGTTAGAATGCTACATTATCCCTGAGTAACATAGGCTATATTAATTACTAGAGAACAATTAGGGATACATGAAAGTGTAAAAAATATATTTCCACCCTTGCAAAGCTGGGATAAGCCACTAGTTATTAATAAAACCTTTTTACTATCCTAGACTTTTATTGTTCATATTATAGTGAAATGAACAAAGTGTTTTAACGAAAGTGGCTAACGCGTGATTTGTGTTATATTCGCAAATCGTAAACCTTATTTGAAGTCGAGCCTTTAAGATCTACGTAATCACTGAAGGAGATTGAACACGTATTTTTGATTTCACACTTTACACTTACATATATTTTCTTTCAAAAACCACACGTGCTTGGTTCAAAGCCCTTTCGACATAACGCATTTCTCCTTACGTAACCAACCGAACTCCGGCTTTAACTTATTGTTTATATAGCATGCTTTCTAAACAATAAATATCACGCTTTTTAATACAAGCCGTCCCTCGGATCTCAGAATGTATATCTCTAAAGAATTACGAGTACCTTTTTACATTTGGCTTAACATGAGTATATTTCTATATAATGAACCTCTTTTTTGTTTTCTATTTATTCTCAAAGTTATATTTCAAACATTTTGTTTTGGAGTTACGTCAAATTTTCACTACTCTCAGGGAATGCTTATTAACATTTAGTTTGCATGTGGTTAGTCTTCTAATAATTTTTTTAATAAATAAGTAAAGTAAAGTAAAGTAAAGTAACAGCCTAGACATGTCCCACTGCAGGGCAAAGGCCTCCTCTATATAGAGGGTATCAGGGCATAGTCCACCACGCGGCCCCACTGCGGATTGGTGGACTTCACATATTTTCGAAATATATTTTTTTTGTTATTATTTCGAAAATATGCAGGTTTCCTCACGATGTTTTCCTTCACCGCGGAGCACGTGATAAGTCAGCACTTAAAGTTAAAAACTTCATTGGTGCCGGCACCGGGGATCGAACTCAGGTTGCTCGAGTATATTGAATTAAAGGCGAGCGCCCGGACACTGAGCTATCACGGCTCACAATAAATAAGTAAAATAAATAAATTTAGTTAGTGAAAGCATACAAATTCAAAAACTTGGATTTCGATAGGATGCCGGTACGACCGGATCGATATTGTTTTCAGATTTGTAGCTTTGTACGGTTGTGCAAATTGGTAAAAGGCATTAAATCTAATATGCCCCAACTCCTCTTGGCGAATGCGAGGAAACATGTAACGACTCTTTGCAAGGTATTAAGCCGATCGGAAAGAACTCGCATTTCACAATTCCATCAGCTCTAAATTAAATGCGATCAAATTAAAGAAACTGGTATAATATTGCCTCGGCCTAGATGAGAACAGTCCTTCCGCCAGTGCTAAGCAATGGAAATACTAAGCGGTATGATTTAATTACTCTTGCTTAGTTTAAGTAAGTCTTCTCTTACAAAGAGCCCAAAATTTTACATTGCTCGATGTGACAGCAAGACTGAGTATCTTCAAAAATGACACTATCGATAGTATGCAGACCTGTGTTTTTATATGATTATATTAGATTAAATTATTTCGGTAGAAGACATCCGCAGTAGAACTAAGATAACCGATATAGCTCAGAGGATTAGCAAGCTGAAGTGGCGATGGGCCGGCCATATAGCTCGTAGAACCGATAACCGTTGGGGAAGAAAGGTTCTCGAGTGGCAGCCTCGTACTGGCCATCGCAGTGTGGGACGACCCCCCACTAGATGGAGTGACGACCTGTGCAAATGTGCGGGAAGTCGATGGATGCAGGTGGCTCAGGATTGTACTTCATGGCAGTCTGTGGGGGAGGCCTATGTTCAGCAGTGGACTCAAACAGGCTGAAATGATGATGATGATGATTTCGGTTTTGATCGGAGTTTTTTTTAACGACAACCTCTGACATACTGTCTCTAACGTATTAATTAAATAAAACGTGTACTGGTTCTTAAGATTAATTTGTTGAGGCAATGTCGCGTAACGAACCCCAACGTGATCAGTTGTCGGCATGAATGGGTTGGTCGGTGTCAGTGTAATTCCTCCAAAAAAAAAAAATAAAAAAAAAAACCCCACTTAAAAATGTTAATATGTCCTTTAAC